TGGGAGGGAACTGGGATGGACTGGGAGGGAACTGGGAGGGACTGGGAGGGACTGGGAGGGACTGGGATGGACTGGGAGGGACTGGGAGGGACTGGGAGGGAACTGGGATGGACTGGGATGGAACTGGGATGAACTGGGATTGAACTAGGCCAAACTGGGAACAAACTGGGATGGAACTGGGCCGAACTGGGATGGAACTGGGATGAACCGGGCCAAACTGGGATGAACTGGGATGAACTGGGATGAACTGGGCCAAACTGGGATGAACTGGGATGGAACTGGGATGAACTGGGCCAAACTGGGATGAACTGGGATGGAACTGGGATGAACTGGGCCAAACTGGGAGGGCGCAGCCCCAAACTGGTGCCGGGGCACTCACGGCGTAGAGCAGAATCCGGTTCTCCTTGTCCTCCTTGGGGTACAGCATGTTGTTACTGGGCAAACTGGGATTACTGGGAGGCTCCGGCGGGGAGCCCCCGCCCTTCCCACCCCCAGAATTCCCAATTTTCTCACCCCAAAAATTCCCAATTTTGTCACCCCAAAAATTCCCCATTGTTCACCTCAAAATCCCAATTTTTTTTTTCCTCAAAATTCTCAATTTTTCCCCTCAAAATTCTGAATTTTTCCCCTTTAAAATTTGCAATTTTTCTCCTCGAAATTCTCAATTTTTCACCCTCAAAATTCTCAATTTTTCACCCTCAAAATTCCCAATTCTCCCCACAAAATTCCCAGTTTTCGCCTCAAAATTCCCAATTTTTCTCCTAAAAATTCCAAACTTTTCCCCCTCAAAATTTCCGATTTTTCACCTCAAAATTCCCAATTTTTCTCCTCGAAATTCCCAATTTTTCACCCTCAAAATTCCCAATTTTTCACCCTCACAATTCCCAATTTTTCACCCTCACAATTCCCAATTTTTCCCCTCAAAATCCCCAATTTTCCCCCTCACAATTCCCTTTCTATCCCTCATAATTCAGATTTTTTCCCTCAAAATCCTCAATTTTCTGCCTCACAATTCCCTGTATTTTTCCCCTCACAGTTCCCAATATTTCCCCCTCACAATTCCTGATTTTTCCCCCCCAAAATCCCCAATTTTCCCCCTCAAAATTCCCTGTATTTTTCCCCTCACAATTCCCAATTCTCCCCTCAAAATCCCCAATTTTCTCCCTCATAATTCCCTGTATTTTTCCCCTCACAGTTCCCGATTTTTCCCCTCAAAACCCCCAATTTCCCCCCTCACAATTCCCAGGTTTTTTCCCATCAAAATTCCCGATATTTCCCCCTCAAAATCCCCACCAATTTTCCCCCTCACTATTCCCTGTATTTCCCCCTCACCATTCCCTGTATTTCCCCTCACCATTCCCTGTATTTCCCCTCACCATTCCCTGTATTTCCCCTCACCATTCCCTGTATTTCCCCTCACCATTCCCTGTATTTATTTCCCCCTCACCATTCCCTGTATTTATTTCCCCCTCACCATTCCCTGTATTTATTTCCCCTCACCATTCCCTGTATTTCCCCTCACCATTCCCTGTATTTCCCCTCACCATTCCCTGTATTTCCCCCTCCCCATTCCCTGTATTTCCCTCTCACCATTCCCTGTATTTCCTCTCACCATTCCCTGTATTTATTTCCCCTCACCATTCCCTGTATTTCCCCTCACCATTCCCTGTATTTATTTCCCTCTCACCATTCCCTGTATTTCCCCTCACCATTCCCTGTATTTCCTTCTCACCATTCCCTGTATTTCCCCTCACAATTCCCAGGTTTTTTCCCCTCACCATTCCCTGTATTTATTTCCCTCTCACCATTCCCTGTATTTCCCCCTCACCATTCCCTGTATTTCCCTCTCACCATTCCCTGTATTTCCCACTCACCATTCCCTGTATTTCCTCTCACCATTCCCTGTATTTCCCCTCACCATTCCCTGTATTTCCCCTCACCATTCCCTGTATTTCCCCTCACCATTCCCTGTATTTCCCTCTCACCATTCCCTGTATTTCCCTCTCACCATTCCCTGTATTCCCCCTCACCATTCCCTGTATTTCCCACTCACCATTCCCTGTATTTCCCCACTCACCATTCCCTGTATTTCCCTCTCACCATTCCCTGTATTTATTTCCCCCTCACCATTCCCGCCTTTCCCCTCCCGCCCCTCCCGGGCGCGTTCCCGCTGTTCCCCCCCCAGTTCCCGCTGTTCCCCCCCCAGTTCCCGCTGTTCCCCCGTCTCCCCCATTCCCGGTTCATTCCCGGTGCATTCCCGGTTCATCCCCGCCCTTTCCCCGCCGTTCCCCCTCACCATTCCTGGCAGAAGCGGATCCCCACGAATCCCGGCTCGTACGCGCCGTCCCCCTCCATGGCCGCGCGGCCACACCCCTTCCCTCTCCCTCCCTCACCCCATTGGTCAACCCACCTGTCCATCATCCAATACCACCTTCTCATTGGTCGACTCACCCTAGACCCGTCAACGCTTTATTTCTATTGGTCAATCCCATTCACCACGCCCATTCTTTATCCTATTGCTCCATTCGCTGTTAGACACGCCCCACTCGCCTTCTTATTGGCTAATCCCTTTTCACCCCTCCCTTTCTCTCTTCCTATTGGCCAACCGCCATTTTCCCCACCTTTTCTGCGCCTATTTGTAGTTTTCTCTCCGTCCCGCCTTTCCTCGCTGGCTATTGGTCGGTTTTTAACACGTGACGCCATCCCGCGGCTCCGATTGGCCGCTCCCTCAGCGGTGGCGGCCCGTGAAGGTTCCAGAAGCGGCTCCGGTTCGGGCGGGCCCGGAGCCGTTCGAGGCTCCCGGTTCGGAGTCCCGGGGAGGATCCCGGAGAGGCTCCCGGGGAGCTGCCGGGAGGAGCCCGGCCGTGCCCGGCGCTGCCGGTGCGGTTCCGGTGCGGTTCCGGTGCGGCGGAACCGGCGGGGCCCGGGCGGGGCCCGGGCGGTACCGGGGCCATGAACGGCGGCGGGGCCGGGCCGGGCCCGGTGTGGCTGGCGGTGAGCAGCTCGCTGAACGCCTTCCGCGCCTGCAAGCGCTTCTCGCCCGCGCTCACCATCGCCGAGCTCAAGGTAGAGGGGCGGCAACCGGGAATGGAGAGCGGGGATGGGGGAACGGGGATGGGAATGGGCTGGGATAACGGGAGTGAGAACGGGATAATGGGATAACGGGGATGGGGATGGGAGAACGGGGATACGGGAACGGGAACGGGATAATGGGAACGGGAATGGGGATGGGCTGGGATAACGGGAGTGGGAACGGGATAATGGGATAACGGGGATGGGAATGGGAGAACGGGGATGGGGGAACGGGATAACGGGAACAGGAGAACGGGATAGTGAGATAACGGGAATGGGAATGGGAGAACGGGAATGGGGGAACGGGATAGTGGGAATGGGAGAACGGGGATGGGGGAACGGGAACGGGATAATGGGAACAGGAATGGGAATGGGCTGGGATAATGGGAGTGGGGATGGGAGAACGGGAGCGGGAGAACGGGATAACGGGATAACGGGAATGGGAATGGGCTGGGGTAACGGGAGTGGGATAACGGGAATGGGAATGGGATAACGGGGGTGGGAACGGGATAATGGGATAACGGGGATGGGATGGGCTGGGGTAACGGGAGCGGGATAACGGGAATGGGAATGGGATATTGGGATAACGGGAATGGGAATGGGATAACGGGGGTGGGAACGGGATAATGGGATAACGGGAACCGGGATGGGATAAGGGCTGGGGTAACGGGAGCAGGATAATGGGAACTGGACCGGGATAATGGGATAACGGGAATGGGAATGGGAATGGGCTGGGATAATGGGAATTGGACCGGGACAAAGGAACTGGGACAGTGGGAATGGGACCGGGATAATGGGAATGGGATAATGGGATAATGGGAATAGGATGGGGAGAACGGGAATGGGATGCAGAGAATGGGAATGAGAACGGAACCGGGACAGTGGGAATGGGACCAGGATAATGGGAACGGGACCAGGATAATGGGAATGGGAATGGGCTGGGATAGTGGGAATTGGACCGGGATAAGGGAACTGGGACAGTGGGAATGGGACCGGGATAATGGGAATGGGATAATGGGATAATGGGAATAGGATGGGGAGAACGGGAATGGGATGCAGAGAATGGAAATGAGAACGGAACAGGGACAGTGGGAATGGGACCAGGATAATGGGAGCGGGACCAGGATAATGGGAATGGGAATGGGCTGGGATAGTGGGAATTGGACCAGGATAAGGGAACCGGGACAGTGGGAATGGGACCAGGATAACAGGAACAGGACCAGGATAATGGGATAATGGGAATGGGATGGACTGGGATAAGGGGACTGGGATAATGGGAATGGGATGGGCTGGGATAAGGGGACTGGGATAACAGGAATGGGATGGGGAGAACAGGAACGGGACCGGATAAGGGAACCGGGATAATGGGAATGGGGTTGGGATAACGGGAACGGGACCGGGATAACGGGAACGGGACCAGGAACGGGCTGGGATAACGGGAACGGGACCAGGAACGGGCTGGGATAACGGGAACGGGATGGGGAGGATGGGAACCAGACCAGGATAACGGGAATGGAATGGGGAGAATGGGTCCCCAGTGTCCCCAGTGCCACTCCCAGTGTCCCCAGTGTCCCCAGTGCCACTCCCAGTGTCCCCAGTGTCCCCAGTGACATTCCCCATGTCCTCAGTGCCACTCCCGAAGCCACTCCCAATGTCCCCTGTGCCATCCCACAGTGTCCCCAGTGCCACCCCCAGTGTCCCCAGTGCCACTCCCAGTGTCCCCATTGTGCACGGTGACATTCCCAATGTCCCCACTGTTCCCAGTACCACCCCCAGTGTCCCCAGTGCCACTCCCAGTGTCCCCAGTGCCAACCCTGGTGTCCCCAGTGTCCCCAGTGCCACTCCCAGCATCACTCCCAGTGTCCCCAGTGCCATCCCCAATGTCCCCAGTGCCACTCCCAGTGTCCCCAGTGTCCCCAATGTCCCCTCCCAGTGCAAACTGGAGCTGGTGGTGGCTCCCCCATGTCCTGCATGGAGCCGGAGCCGTTCAGCGCCGAGGACGAGCCCTTGGGGACACTGCCCTGGGAA